GAGAATTCCAACTTCTTTGTGGTGGAAATCATAGTTTCATTTTAGATTTTCTTTTGGGTTTATGAAATGAGTTGGAATGATGTCTCATGGTTATGTGAATGTTTTTTTAATTTAGTTGTGAACCTAATAATCTAATCGCGTCTCATGATTACGTGAATATTAATAAATTTAGTTGTGAACCAGAACCTGGGTATCAACCAAGGACTGATATCAATCCCAGAAGGTCATGTTGGGGTATATTGGAGAGGAAGCGCTCTTTTAAAGACAATTACAGATCCAGGTGATGTGCATTGAGAAGTTGCTTGCATAGGGCCTTAAATTTGTCTGCTTCTCATTATTTCAAATTTCAGGTTTTCATCTCAATCTGCCTCTGGTCACCCATTTTGAACCCGTTCAAGTTACCCTGCAGACTGATCAGGTAACTTTGGTAATCCATGTTTGGAAGATTGAGGATTCTGTCCTTCCATTCATTATAGTTTTGAAAGCTTCTGTTAGCAACATTGTAGGCAAGGGATATTCCATGTGGTACAAAAGGGGGTGTCATGATCAATTTTGAGAAGATTGAGGTAAAGCTATGCGATATTATTCTTTAGTATTTGTATATTAGTTTCACTTAGTTGAAGGTCTTGAAAAACTCCATTTAATAAATCCAAAATGTGTATTCCTTTAGGTGCTATTTGATAACTATTTGGTTTTTAGTTTCAAGTTTTTGTTTGGATTTATTTTTGTGCATTTACGATAACTTTACTTTAGTATATGTAGATTTAATATTACAATTTAGTATTAATTTATATATTATCTTCTTAGGTTCTTCAAGCATTTAGCTTCTTAGAATATCATTTTTGAAAAAAGCTGGAGTAATGCATTTTATAGTGTGGTCTAACTTCCTTTTCATTGAAGTGGGATTTTTGAGAGGGACTGGTGGATCTCTAAAAAGGAACTTGGTGGAAATTCCTTATTACACTATTCTGTCTTAGAAGTTGTGAATTATATGCATGTATAGATGTTGTCTTAGCTAGATCGTTGTTTTAAACAACCGACTCATTTTTTGCTATTACTTTTCAGATTTTAGTTATGTAGATACTCTCTCTTCATTTTTCAGATGGTTGACAAATTGGATGATGATGGCAATAGAATTTGGTCCACTTGATTTTAAAGAGGCCCTATAAGGTAATATGCTCTGCCTCAATTTTACAGAGCTCTTACATTAGTTTTTTCTTGCTCTTTTTTAACTCGACATGATTTTAGGATGTTGGAAGAGCTCTCTTCCGAGCACATGTCGAGGGTCAACTAAAGGTTAACATATTTGTATATTTATTATTAGCTAACTCTTAATTATGATGCCGTTAAAAAAAAAGTCAAGGATAAGTTGAAGGGTTTGAAAGAAACTAAAGTGGAATTAATTGGAACCGAACCATTCACTAGAAAGTGATATATTTTTAGGTGTATTCGGAATACAAAGTAGTATAATAAGTGGTATATGTGGTTTATATTTTCTATACTTTTTCTTATAATCTCTTATGCCTTGGTCTAATTACTTTCTGGAATTTGATCTATTTTTGTAGAAACTTGGTTGCAAGGCAAGTTGGAAATGCACAAAACTTTGATCACGTTCTATAGAAATGCCAGAGAAGGTCATATCCATTTCGTGCAAAATCAGACTTCTTTCTGCACACAAAAACACTAGGTAAACACACATTATCTTTATTTTGTTCATGATATGATTCTACTGCCTATAAATTTATTTCAATTTTTTTTCCCTTGCTTGGGATGCTTCCTTAATGACCAACATAGCAGAGGACAACTTTTAACGTTGCTATAAACAACATTTCCCATTAATGTTTTTGGACAAGAAGCAATTTGGGTTTTTTCGTATCCAAAGAACTTCGTAATATTTTTAATAGATGAAATAGGTTTCTCTTTAGATATTTAAATTTGTTTCATCCATGATGAGGTTGTGTATAATTTGCATTGGTATTGGTAACTCAATTTTTGACTCAAACATTGTTTATGAAGATTGAAATTGCATAATCTTTCATATAGTTTTCAATCCCGTACCAACGCGCGGGTACAAATTCTAGTTAGTTTCTAAATACACCCAACTATTTATCTACATGTATTCTAAGATTGGTTTTCTCCAAGCTCTTAAGGATACTCTCACGTCCATTGCAGAACAAAGCCCTAATCACTAAAGTATAACACAGATGATGAAAAAAAAAAAAAAAACTAATGAAAATGATTTGAAAACTTTGAGTTTTAACGATAAGAACAAAATAAAGGGTAAAGTGAATTAGGGGTGGGTTCAAAAAACCGAAAACCGAAAAAAACCGAAAACCAAACCGAACCGAAACCGAAAAAACCGAACCGAACCGAATTCTTTTGGTTCGGTTCGGTTTTAGTGATCTAGAAATCGAACCAAACCGAACCGAACCGAATTAATTAAATTAATTTTTTTATTTAATTATTTGTTTTAGGTATTATTTTCTAAACCCAATTTGTAAGTTAAAATGTGCTAACCCAATGTGTTGCCAAACTTTAAGCTCAAAATATTAAAAAAAGGCCTATAAAAACTCTAAACCCTAACCTATTATTTCTCTCCCATATAAGGTTCCGGAACCAAATCTCTTCCCGAAGTACCTACATCCATCTCCATAGCACTGTCTACTTCTGCGCTAGCTTTCTTTTCCAAATCTACTCTCATATAACATGTAACATAATCCATAAACATTTATTTCGGGTAGATTACTTGGGTAATTTGTGTGATTTTTGTGTTGTAAGGTTGTTAGTTTGGCCTTTGAAAGACTTGATTGATGATTTTAGTTCAACTTTAAATGTTTATTTTTATTGTCTTTAATTCTAGTTAGAATGTTTATGTTATGATTGTGTTGGATATGTTAAAATTTAAAATTTCAATGTTTTTCATTTTTTGAAAAAAAATAAAAACAAAAAACCGAAACCGAACCGGAAAAAACCGAACCGAAAAAAAATTGAACCGAACCGAACCGACATTTCGGTTTGGTTTCGGTTTTGGCAAAAAACCGAACCGATTTAAACCGAACCCACCCCTAAAATGAATAGTACCATGATTGACTTTTTAGTGTAAAAATATGATTTTTCGTTAAAGTAAACAGTACCGGAAGCTTTTTGTTAAAGTTCCAAAAAAAAAAAGAGGATATTTTTGTCAAATGAGATATGAAATCAATGTTTTAGAGGCTTAGATGTCTTCTTAAAGTATACGGCAATAATTTTTTCTTAATTGTTGGAACATATAAAACTTGCGATAAGCGAAAAATGAATGACCCTGACTCAAATGAAATATTACCGGTGTGCGCAATAGGGAGGGTCACACCATTAGAACCATACCCGATGATGTGTAGCACCAGTATCCGATTACCATGATGGATCAGAAGAAGAAGCAAATATGCATACCAGCAAAAGCACGAGAAATATCATCATTTGAACGAGTAGCTTGAGGACGAAACGCGACAATGTGGCCAAATTGATTGCAGGCCCAACTCTGAGCTCTACGGTTGACAAGGGTTGGTCCAAGGATACCAGGGCGTTGATGCACATCACCACGCTGACCATATCGCTCAGCATTAGAGCGTCCACCACCATTACTGCGAGGAGCCCGAACCAGAAGCACCATTAGACAAACCAACAACAGAATTACGGCCAGAAAGTAGCAGGAGTTGAAGCAACAGCCTGATTCATAGCTTGCTTGGATTCAAAGAGCAGGAGCCGAGTTATCAAATCATTAAACGGCGACAGAGGTGGGAAGTTCGTGAGCATAAACACCCAATTCTTACCGCCAAAAGGCCTCATCTCTAGTCAGATACATACGTACACATTTTGCCATAATATATCTCCTTGTAGTTATAAGAAAAATATTTTGCTGATCATGTTAACGAATTAGAGCAAGTCCACCGGGACTTGCTTTGCCCAGCCCCCAGCACAAAAAACAGCCTGGCCCTCAGTGAAATTGCTCCAGCCCACAAAGTTGCCTGGCACCCAGCCCATGCCAGGCAACAGCCCAGCCCAATTTTGATAGACCAAGAAGCTGGCCTATTTGGCTGGCGCGTGCACAACAAGCGCGCCTGGGCGCGAGTAGCCGACAGGCTGCAGAGGGGCTGTCAGCCCACTTGTGTTCCGGATCCCATCAGCGACGTGGCATGCTCATAGCCGTTGGATTTCCAACGGCTAGTTTTTCTAGACCGTTGGATTTCCAACGGTAAAAAAAATTTAATTTTACTTTTAAAATAGACCGTCCGATCACAGATCAACGGTCTACGTTAATTAACTAAATTAAAATTTATTAAAAAATACAGAAAAAATATTAAAAAATACAGAAAATTTTAAAAAATTTATTTATTTTTTCTATAAATACCTAACTCTCATCTTCCACCTTACACCACATTTCAATATTTTCTACACTTTCTACCAAAGCTTTCATATACTTTTTGTGTGAAAAAAAAAATACCAAAAAGCTTGTGGTTGAAGAATAAAGTGTATTTGATGAGTTTATGTAATTTCATTTTTATAGTTTATTTGATGAGTATGTAATTTTATTTTAGTGTGTATTTTTTTTTAAGTTTATTTGAAATTTTATCTGAAATTGGTTAAAAATCTTATCCAAAATAAACTTAAAAAAAAAAACACACCAAATAAATGCGCTGGGTGCCAGCGCATTTTTTTAGGGGTGGAGATGCCTTGGCCTATTACTGTTCACTCCAGTCTATTACTGTTCACTTGAGTGGATAAATGCGCTGGGTGCTGGCGCAAAGTCCTTAGGGGTGGAATTGCTCTTATGAGCCAGAGTTATTTTTATTTACGGATAATTAGGCTCCGGTCCTTAATTTTTGATATTCTTTGATTAAAATCCTGTTATTTTTTACTTTTTGATCAAGGTCCTTGAAGTTTGTACACATCAGCATTTTATTATCAACATATTTCCATGTCAGCTTTTTTTTTTATTATTGAAATAGTTAATTATTGCATTTTTTTAATCTGAGGCTGCGTTTTTATTCCACGGCTGTTAATGCCTCAAACACCTCCTATGCCAAACTAAATTGATGCATCCATTCCATCAACTAATCCCGCTCACTTGATTTCTTCCCTTTTTGATTTTCGTAACTGCAAATTCCACAATAATCTCACTAAGTTTTTCAAATCCATCATTATTAACTTTGATATGATGCTTCAAATTCAAGTTTGGCCAAGATTTGAATCGAAGTCATACTTTATCCGTGAGCGTTCGAGCAAGCGCAGTTTTTTGCAGAGTAATTTGAAGAATCAACGACAATTCCGAGCTAAAATTCGAGGTTTTTTTTTTTTCATTTTTTGAATTTGCACCCATAGTTCATTTATACTGATTTGTCCACAATGGTGGATTTTTGGTGTTATAATTTTCGTACCCATATTTACAAGTAGTGTAGTATCGTTTTCACAATTGGTTTTGCATATGTTTGGGCATGTATTGGGGAACTGCAATGAGTTCATCATGTATCTTGTGGTTTTGCAGAATTTTTCTGGTGCATACCAAGTGTTTGTCGAAATGTTTGAATGAGAATTTCGTATAAGAAAGTTTTGTATGCATGGAAACTGTTTATAAAAATTATTGAATAAGTTTTTTTCTCTATTGTGGTGTGCATGGGTACAATTCAATTGCAGTGTATACATTTTTTTAACAATGGTTCATGTGTTGATGTGTTGCAAACTACTGAAGTTGTAGAAGTATAGGAAGGGGTACAACACAAAAACAGAGCAGATAAGTCAAGGGAGAACCAGCTAAGGCCGAGTGTTTTTGCCATCTATTTTTCTGTTTGACATATACCGTATTTGTTTTTTTTGGGGTGGGGGGGGTACAAACAGCAAATAATAATTGGACATGGTTTAATTCATCTTTCTTGTTTTCCTTTTGGAAATGTATTGCACTTTTCATGTCAAGCTAGAATGCTTTGGGTTAATGTTGTATTCACTTTCTTTTATCTTTTCAGATGGAAGGTGCTATAGTGGGGAGATGCACTCATCAGGGTACCACTATATCTATCCCAATTTTTTACCACACTACATTCTCTGAAGTGTACAATGAGGTTTGCTCAAGGCTTAGTAATTTGACTCATGGTTTATTCGACCTTACATATGTTTTACCTGGATATTCTACTTGTCTATTGCAATCTAATATGGACGTGCGAATGTTGTATATGTCGGTTGTCAACGAGAAATATTATTGTGTTGATATAGTTATCAACCAAAAGTCGTGACGTGACAATGATCGTGTCAGCCGAAATACCCCTGCTTCACAAACATTTATAATTGAAGGAAATATTCACAGCGATGGGAATGAGTATTTAGGGAAATATGCAACACTGGGAGGCAAGGTATATATGTCAAACGCTTGGAAGACCTACATTAATCATGTAAATCAAGGATTTGAAGGCGGAGTGGAAGAATTCAGAGACAAACTTTGTAAGTATGCAGTTGAAATGGGATTCACATTTGTGTATGTGAAGAACGACAGGGAAAGAGTTACAGCGGTATGTAATAAGAAATATTCTGAAGGTTGTCAGTGGCGATGCATCAATATGTCATGTTAACAATTTCTTTTATATTAAGAGGTTGAATAACGAACACACTTGCACATGCCGCATTCGTGAGAAAAAAAGTGGTATGATGAGTTCCAAAATTGTAGCTTCTACTATAGTTGAAAAGATCCGGACCAGACCTCGTATCAAACCAATTGATATCGTAATGGATTTTAAGAGAGACTACGGTTTAGATATTTCCTATTACAATGCATGGTATGGGAAAGAGATTGCAAAAACTAAAGTTCATGGTGATGATTCGTTGTCATATCATCAAATGGTTTGGTACGTAGAAGCTATCAAAAAAACAAATCCTGGATCTCATTGCGAATTGGAGTTTGACCAAGAAACCTTTCATTTCCAGCGGATATTCATTGCATTTGGTGGTTCTATTGAGGGTTTTAAGTTTTGTAGGCCTATGTTGTTTTTGGATGGTACTTTCTTGAAAGACAAATACAAAGGAACATTGCTTGCTGCAATTGGTAAAAATGGCAATCAAGGTATGCACATATCCCTTTAATTTTTATATTTTAATAATTTGCTTAATAATAAGTCTTCCTATTCAACCTGATTATGTAACATCTTTCAAAATTTTGAAGATTCAATACGTATACCTGATTATGTACATTGCTTACGACACATTTTTATTCATAAGTTTGGTATATAATGCTAACTACTGACTTTGGAATGTTTTAATTTGTTGGTTGAAGGATTCTTCCCTCTTGCATTTGCATTAATTGATGGTGAGGACCAAAATAATTGGACATGGTTTCTTAAAAATTTGGCTAAGATTTTGGAGCCACAACAACGCACCATAACTTTCATATCTGATCGACACAAGGGGTTGATTCCGGCTGTGACAAATACTTTTCCAGACTCCCCTCATGCATATTGTTTGCATCACATCAAGCTAAACATATTAGAAAAGTATCCTGCTAGTCTTGGATCTGTTTTTCGAAATAAAATTGTTCAAAAGTTTAGTGAGTGTGCATATGCTGCCACCCCCGAGATGTATGAATTGAAAATGGCAGCATTGGTCAAGGAAGGAGGTAATATAATGCGCAAATTTTTGAAGGATCTCCCAAAAGAGAATTTTTGCAATGCATTTTTCAAGGGTAAAAGGTAACAGTTTTTGTTAATTTACTATCTTCCAAAACACAATACATGTTTCGTTTTTATTAATGAATGTGTCATTTTATTATAAAACATGTAGATGACTTGTTTCTACACTGTCTGATTTCTCTTTCTTGTCATATCACCAAATTATGCAGATTGCTCATTTTATTATTTCGATGTTTTAGGTACGGGGAAATGTGGTCGAACGTTGCAGAATCATTTAATGCATGGATTAGTAACGAACGTCTCTTACCCATTTACCAATTGGTGGATGGTATAAGAATTAAGTTGATGGAAATGAATGCTGAAAGACATCTTGAGGCAAACAAATGGACCACTTTCTTATGTCCGGAAATGGAGGCTGAGATGGTTGCATCTATTGAGGTTGGGAGGCATTGGCTTGTTAGACGGTCTAGTGAGTGTGTGTTCGAAGTGCAAACCGATGATACTTCGTTGATGGTTGACTTAGAAAGTCAAATTTGCTCATGTCAACAATGGCAGATAAAAGGCTTCCCTTGCTCACATGCACTTACTGCAATCTTGAAAAATGGTGCAAATCCTTTTGATTACACTGAGGCGTATTTCAGCACTGATTACTACAAGTCTTCATATTCATTTCCAATTCAACCTATTCCTCAAGTAGATAAGCCTCATATGAGTGAAGATACAGAATTTATAGTGAAACCTCCTAAAACAAGGAAGCAACCTGGTAGACCAAGGATCAAGAGAATCAAATCTGCTGGGGAGGAAGCAAGACCATTAGAGTGTGGTCGATGTCATCAAGTGGGTCATCACAATCAGAGGACTTGTTCAGTTCTGATATAAGCTTATGTTACTACTTCCATTGTTATTCAGACTTTGCATAATATTTTTACATTTAAGTTATGCACAATTTGAGCTTGGTGTGACAATTTTGCTTCTATTCTATGTATTCAAATTTGGTTCGTTTTTATTTAGAAATTTAGAAGTTGAGCTACAGAGCATGGGGTACAATATTGTTTGCATTAGCTACATTTTTTTCAGTTCAGAGAACTTTTCCTTCCATTGTTGAAGGTGCACTTTCTTTAGATCCCCCTTTTTCGAAGTTGAGCTACCAAGCTATTTACTTAGCAGAATGCTCGAATGATACCTCATGTTACCCCTCACACTTTTCGTTAGTGTGGGTGCAAATTAATACCATTAATTAACATTACCCAGTTTAGAAAAGTTTTCAAGATGTCGAGAACGTACCTAAAAATGGTGAGAATGTAGCAGTGAAATGAATTCAAGATGATGAGAATACATTAACATTAACAAGTGTGAATGCACTAGTGAAATAAATTTATAATCCCATCGTTAAGAATGTACCCCTGCTTTGTATCTCTCATAACTCATTTTCATTCTGTTTATTAAAAAAGAAAAAAAAAGCAGCTTGCTCATGAACATGAACTAATTAAATATAATCACAGTAGTTGGATTCAAATTTCAATAGGTCCTCATGCAAAAAACAATCAAATAAACCCATAAAGTACACAAAGTACATATCTTTTACCAAACAAGAAAAAACATCAAATTAGATTCATAGTCATGACCAAGGAAGAAAATATCGGTAATATCGGAAATATCGGTAGTCCGAAAACACGGAAATATCGATGGAAATATCGGGATAATATCGATATCGATAAAAATTACATGGAAACCACGGAAATTGTAAGAAAAACTTGGAAATTTTTATTGAAACTTTGCATGATGTTTATTTAGTCAATTATCTATTAGTTTATCACAAAAAATTGGAAGGAAATGCATTGCATGATGGATTTAACATTATCAAGTTGATTATATAACGAGCTGACAAACATTGTGAGTGTAGAAAATATGTAGAAATTAATGAAAGAAGTCTAAACACACCATAATCATTTATATATAATGAATTAGTACAATATTTTACACTTTATACATTGCATGGTAAGATACATGAGTGACTTAGTACCACATAGAGTTCCTATGAGGTTTAAAATTTTCACTATCTTCATCATCTCTATGTGTAGAGTGAGTGTATTTTGAAGAGTAGTTAGCAACCATGGCAATGGTTTTCAAGAACCAAAACCCAAAAGTCAATAGGAAACCGAATACTTCGGTATTTTTTCGGGATTACCAAAACAAATGGGATTTGGAAACCAATCCCATATCGAAAATTTCGGTATTTTTCGGGATGGGATTCCCGAACTTCAGGATGGTTTTGGTTTGGGATTTTTCGGTTTGGGTTTGGGACTTTTTCGGTTTGGTTTGGGATTTTCCGGAATTTTTTCCAGCCCTACCATGTAAGTGACAAAATAAAAAATAGAAAAATTAAAAACCACATGCCATTGACTAAGTAATTAATTGACACAATTTAAAATATAATACCACAAAAAATTTGGAATATGTGCAAATTTGTTTCTTGTAAAAAGAATTCAAAACAAAACCATATATATAAATATTGTAGCATATTATCACAACAACATAAGTGGTATAGTGGTTAAGGCCTTAAGGAGTTAAATGGGAGGGGTTCGAACCCCTCTATGCTCAAAATTGAGACTTTTCCAAATTTTCAGGAATTTTTGGACTAATATCGCGATATTATATCTAATATAAATATCACGATATTTTGACGAAATATCATTGGATACTCATTAAAATATCGGTAACTCAAAAAAACGAAAATATCGGCGATATTTCGCCGATATTTTGGATATTTTCTTCCATGGTCATGACTGCATGTTGGTGGCCTATGCATGCGACCAATTAGATTCATCGTTCAGAAATGCACCCACACATGTTGCTCTATACTCGAGTAGTTCATCCTCTTCAAAATTTTCCATTATTGGCCACATCTTTGACGCCACAATCAAGCTTGCATATTCATCATCCTCATAAAGTGTTATGCTAATATATGAATATTTTCCAAGTACAAACTAACAGGAATGACAAAAGATGTTAATGTACTCACGATCCTGGAGCTTGTTGTGGGCACTTGTGGACAAGCACCATTGGCCAATCAATGTGGATATCTTTTATACTTTGAAAACTAACAGGAATGACAAAAGATGTTAATGTACTCACGATCCTGGAGCTTGTTGTGGGCACTTGTGGACAAGCACCATTGGCCAATCAATGTGGATATCTTTTATACTTTGAAATGTAAGTTTTTCATCATATTGAATTGTTCCCCATGCCACCTAGGTTGTACCCTTGCTAACAATGAATTCAACACTACAAATAATAAATTGTACCCCATACCACCTAATTTGTACCCCTGCTTGTTAATGTCAGTACAACAAATTCATACTCCCAACATTAAGAATGTACCCCTGCACTGACACCATATACTTTGAATGTAATGTACCCCTGCACTGACACCATATACATTGAGAATATACCTACAATAACTTCAGAATCCCATCGTTTATCAAAATTTTCAGGTTGGTGTAAGGGCCATACAATCATATCCCATCGTTGAGTTTGTACCCTACTAACAATGAATTCAACACTATAAATAATAAATTGTACCCAATACCACCTAGTTTGTACCCCTGCTTGTTAATGTCAGTACAACAAATTTATACTCCCAACATTGAGAATGTACCCCTGCATACAATGCTAGCTGCAACTCTAATGCAATTGAATTCATGTAACCCCTCATACAATGCTAGCTGCAACTCTATAAATATTGAATTGTACCCATGCCACCTAGTTTGTACCCCTGCTAACAATGAATTCAACCCTACAACTAATAAATTGTACCCCATACCACCTAGTTTGTACCCCTGCATTGTTAATGCCAATACAACAAATTCATACTCCCATACCACCTAGTTTGTACCCCTGCTTGTTAACGTTAGTACACAGCCCCTCACACAATGCTAACTCCAACTCTATAAATATTGAATTGTACCTCATGCCACCTAGTTTGTACCCATGCTTGTCAATGTTACTACAAAAAAATTCATACTCCCAACATTGAGAACATATCCACGCCATCTACTGCCCCCAACTAAACAAATATTGCATTGTACCCCCTGCCAACTAGTTTGTATCCTTGCCTACAGTTCTGCAACTCTCAAAATATGGGCTTAAAAACTTTTCAAGCATTTTTATAAACACTTGTTATGCATGGAAAATTTTCATATGCAAAAATTCTCATTCAAAAATTTCGACAAACACTTGGTATACACCAAAAAAAACACTGCAAAACCATAAGGTACATGCTGAAATCATTGAAGTTCCCAAATACGTGACCAACAAAATCATAAAAGAATCATTAATATATACAAAATCAATTGTGAACGATACTACGTTCTCGTAAATATGGTACAAAGATTATAACATCAATCAGTATGGGTGTAATTTCAAAAAATGGAACAATACCTCGAATTTTAGCTCGTCAGCGTCGTTGGGTCTGTAAGTCCCCCTGCAAAAAATTGCGCTCGTTCGAATGCTCGCGGGAAAAAATATGATTTTGACTCAAATCTTGCCGAAAATTGAATTTGAGGATTCATATCAAAGATAATAATGATGAATTTGCAGTTACGAAAATCAGAAACTGAAGAAAATAGCGTCATTATTTGGTGCAACGGATGCGTGAATTCAGTTCAGCAAGCAAAAGAGGCGTTGGAGGCGTTAGAGGCGTAAAAGTCATGAAATAAAAACACAGTGGGGATAAAAAAAAATACAATAATTAACTATTTTAGTAAAATAACAAGAAGGATGACATGGAAATATATTAACAGTAAAAATGCTGATGTGGATAATTATAGAGACTTTGATCAAAAAATAAAAAACAACAGGATTTCAGTCAAAGATCTCTACCAACTAAGGACCGGATACAAATTGTCCCTTTTATTTATACACACATCTAGCAGTTATTTTTATTTATACACACATCTAGACATAGCTCAAAGAAATAATAATCAAGCATAACACTATTTTGCCGATCATCTTCACATACATAGGTGTTTACTTAAACATCTCCATCACGCAAAAGCTGGAAAAAAAACATTCATATTTAATGCCACTAAATCCAGCACCAGTTGCCAAAGTCATGAACTCTTCTCGGCTCCGCTCCTTTCCTCCCCTGTTTTGACTCAGCATAAGCACATCAAGTAGGGAGGTGCTCTTCACGGCGGTGCTAGTCTCTGGCATCACTGGAAGAAGTGCTTCCACAATAATCACTTTTCCATCGTCTGGAATAGCATTGTAACAATTTTCCAACAGCTTTAGGCAGTGTTGGTCACTCCAATTGTGAAGTATCCACTACAAATTTATCAAAAGATACATTGTAACCATTGTTCGTATGACCTCAAACTAAAGAGGAAAATCAAATTAATGCTCGGGAAAATGAAAAATAACCTTCAACAAAATGGCATCCCCAGATGGAACACTTGCAAACATGTCTCCTCCAACATGTTCTACCCCTGCAAAAATAAATTAATTCCTATTTTAAGTTGCAGAGCTTGTGCATGATAAATAAAAAAAGAAGAAAAATAATTCCCGCATGTCGTTTGCTTCTTTTGTATATCTTTTTATATTTATGTCTTTTGATTCTTTATATGATTTATTCAACCTAAAGCTAAAACATAAGTGTGTAGGGAAAGGAAAATGGTGAGTGTGCGAACATCACATTCCAACTAACTATTACGAATCAAATTAACTAAAGTAATCTTTACCAGGATATGAAGCGGCATGTTTTATGACATGAGGCAAGTCATAATTGATACCCTTAATATGGGGATGCTTAGAAGTGATTAGACTAATGGTGACTCCCAAACCACCACCAACATCAACAAGTTGGGTAATTTTCTCAAAACCCTTGTAGAGATGAAGAATCTTGTTGGTGACAATAGTGGTGTGGTTAAACATTGCTGTGTTGAAAACTTGATTAAACCTGGGGTCTAAACCTAGGTACTCAAAACACCCCTTGCCATAGACCCTGTTAAATGGAATTCCTCCTTCAACAACTGCATCTTTCAGTTGGGACCTATCAATGTCAATGTGTATCACCCAAGTTAGAGTTA